AGAGAGAGAGAGACTGAGCTCCGTGGTACTCTACGAATATTCACAATATTAGCAGTCTGAAACATTTTCAACTATTACGGAGCATTAAAAGCCGTAGCTCGTAAGACTGCTACTTAATGAGATAACTCCTTTCCCTCCTCGGGATGGACAGTCAGGATACAATGACTCCTGCTTAAGGTGGCTTCGATGACACTTCTGCTCTGATGACATCTGAACCATGCCCTTGATATTTACGTGAAATCCTCATCCACTGTACACACACCAGTTCAGTTTTTCCAACCACTGTACACGATCTCGCCTCCAGCCTTGTTGACTCTATCTCGACACCAAGCTCAGGTGAATGACGGATGACGGAGTGTGGTAGATGCAGTACGAGTATACTATCATTATATACTCAGTCGCCCGCAAGTCACTGTGCCTGCGCCCAGCTAGGCTCTGGGGCACAGGCTGCACATCGTTGATGATGACGGTCAAACTGTTGGTCTGCTCCCATTCGTTCATTAATGTCCGTCGATTAGGGGCAGAACTCATTCGCCCAGTTCTACCTTGGGACTCACTCTCAAGCCCCGTCAGCAGCCGCACAGCGGCTGGTAGTTTAGGCAGATGAACACCAACCCAAGATGGTGCACCACTCGCAGTTTGAACCCGCGATCTATTGATCAGAAGTCCACCACTCCATGCATAAAGATGTCAAGAACTCTTTGTCTTTTTGATTTAGATCGGGCATATTGACATTCGTTGATGAACGTTCATCGATCACCAACAGAACTCAGTGTCTCAATAGTTAGAGCTCTGGACTTCTGATCAAAAGGTCAGGGGTTCGAGCCTCGGATAGTGCGTCATCTGGAGTAAAATTTGGCCAGGTGATGACGGCTAATGAGGCAGAAATGCTCATTCCAGCCTTTCTAGTCTTTTTTTCAGAAATTTCCATTCGGCTCTGATCCCTATAGAAAGTAGAAATTCATTTGTAAGCTCACGCACCAAAAAATGTAAGGACAAAAGCTGGAGGTGCTGCACTTTTCGGAGAAGTAGCCGAGCCCGCCGAATTATATTATTTAAGGAAGTGATCCTTGACCCGATAATACACCGCCACTTTGCATTCGGCTGCACAAAAATTGAGTTTAAGATTTTAAGTTCATTCTCTGGGCGGATAGTGTGAAGAACTCAGCATGCTCTCTAAATGACACGAGCTCATTCCCAAAGAATTCTTATCTTACTTCGAAGGTCGTACAAGTCAATTCTTTTGCTCCTTTTTTCAGATATGACTTCTATCACGCGTCCACCTACATTCTGGCCTCCCTATACTACCTGCCATTGTGAGCAAAGTAAACTCTCTTATCAAAGACCGGTCGTCGCAACTTTGTCTTAGTTGCCAAGATTTCCTATGTAGTAACCTGAACAAGTTAAGGCATTCAGTAGGCAACACCTACTGAGCTCTCAGTTATCGAAATATTTGAGTTGTTATATAACACGTCTGAGTTTGTCATTCCTAAATTTCATCTGCCCGACCTAAACAGCCAGTGTACCTAAAAACTATCTGGATTTTAATTGAAAGATACAACTTAATTTAATTTATTTCGGAAAATTGATTTCTAAGATGATTTCTAAGCTGTTTTATGTGACCTCTGCCCCAAACTCTCTAGTGCGACAAATCCCAGCCCTCACTTTCATTCCGTCTGACGAAGAGCTGGTGTCACCAGCTCGAAAATTCACAAGTAAAACTCCCTTTTCCGAC